ACAGGTGAGAGACAGACGGGTGAGACAGACAGGTGAGAGACAAACAGATGAGAGACAGACGGGTGAGAGACAGACAGGTGAGAGACAGACATGTGAGAGACAGACAGGTAAAGTCTTACCCAGCTCTGTATTGTTTCAGAGACTTCCTGCTCGTGTTGGTGAGCTCCTTGTCGAACACCGACTTCCTGCCGCCTCCGGCTGCCTTCTTACTGACTGCTGCACACCAACAGTTGATTTAAGCCACATACCCGTAAAGCCCTAGCTGTAGTACTCTGCGTGTATTTTGATGTGCTGTAGTACATTTAGTGTTTACTCTGTCAGACCTTTTAATGGAGTCTCGTCTTCAGGCATGGCTCGAGCTCGTTTCGGTCGTCTCTCCCGTTTAGCGGCGCGCTCTGCAAACATTTGAGCCTTCAGGATCTCAAACTGAGCACGGTCCTCAGACTATGACATCACACAGAAAACAGGAAGTGAGCTGGAGTCGGCTTTGTCTGTGAGAATGAAGCCAATCAGACCGATCGATCGCTGATGGATTTTACCGTCAGCTCCTTCTTCTTCCTGCCGTCTCTCAAGAACTTCTCCCTCTTCTTTTTCCCTCTGAGAGCCAGATCGAACTCCTGCAGCGCCTTCGACACTGAGTACACACAGGACAAGTACTACTGAGTACTACACACAGTACACTACTGAGAACCATAGATATGACCATGGATAGGCACAGAGATCACTTGATTAATCTCCAGAAGGAAAATTAGATTCATTGACCCGACACCCGAGATACAGTTCCTGTACGTTCTTTTAAAACAGCTTTACTACTGACCTACAAACAGAACTTCAGACTATTTTGAAAGTAAGATCAAACTCCTTGCAGAGCCCTCGACAGTACAGAATCTTTACAAAAGTACTAGAGTACCTACATTAGGGATGTGTATTTGTACTCACTGCGGCTTTGCTTTCGTTCCTGCTGTGTTTGAAACCAAACTCTTTGTGTTTCACAAGAGGCAGAGCCATCCAGACGCTTCTGAGCCACACTCAACTGCGCGCGCACACGCACACACACACACACACACACACACACAGTTCATTTACGGTTTAAAGCGCATCATAACACAGAAACAGAAGTGGTAAAAGTTAATTTGGTGGAGAGGATCACCTTGGCCTCAGATGCAGCCAGCTCTCTTTCTTCTCGCTCCAGCTTCACGACAGCTTCAACCTCTTTCTCTAGTTTGGAGATATGATCTCTGAACTTCAGGATGACCTCTGGATTGGACACAATCACAGGTCAGTCACAGAACAGAGGTAGAGCAGGTGACTTCTGACACGAGTCGTGCGTACCTGGTGGTAAGACTCGAGCCTTCACGCAGCTCTTTGCTGACTTCACCACCTCCTTCAGCATCTTCCTCTCAGACTCTCCAACCAAAGACACCGAACGTCCTGAACGGCCGGCTCTCGCTGTTCGACCCACACGATGGACGTAGTGTTTGAGTGTCGAAGGCATGGTGAAGTTTATCACCTGAAGCACAGGAAGAGGTTCACATCAGTCCTAAGTGTTTTTTTAGGAAAAGTTTCTTATTACCAGCCAGTTGTTTCTGAAGATGTCTGAAAATGGAACCAAAGCCTTTATGACAAAAAAAAAAAAAAAGACTCCGTCCTGGTCCTGTCAATGGTATTAATCAGTTAATGGTACCACTTGGTTAACAGTATTTGCTTTGTCCATGGAACCACATGGTTGATCGTCTCGGTCAGTTATGGTTGGGGTGAATTATGACCTTCATTATAAAGATGGCGAGTTCATCAAAGCAAAAACATACCGGATTGGTCGAGGCCCGGGTTAACAACGACCGCCACCGGTGGTGTTGACAAACAGGGTGCTGGCGGAAATTTTGCTACTGTTGGTCAAAAACCATGAGGAGGTAAACGTGTCAGGAGACAGAAGGAGAAGAGGAAAGTGAAGTATGTAGGACTGAGGGTTGCAACTCTAAATGTGGGAACAATGACAGGTAAAGGCAGAGAGCTGGCTGACATGATGCTGAGAAGGAAGGTAGATGTTTTATGTGTCCAAGAGACCGAGTGGAAGAGCAGCAAGGCTCGCAGCATTGGAGCAGGGTTCAAACTGTTTTATCATGGTGTGGATAGAAAGAGAAATGGAGTAGGGGTGGTCTTGAAGGAGGAGTTGGAAAATAATGTAGTAGAGGTGAAATGAGTGTCAGGGTGATATGTCTGAAGGTAGAAGGTCTGATGCTAAATGTCGTCAGTAGTTATGCTCCACAAGTTGGGTGTGATGTGGAGGAGAAAGATACATTTTGGAAGGATCTGGACGAGTGTATTCCCAGAGAGGAGAGAAAGATAATAGCAAAGGCAAAGCAGAAGGCGTATGATGAGTTGTATGGGGGGCCGGACACTAGAGCTGGACAAAAATTCGATATCGATATATCTCGCTATATACTTTTATTCAATAACGATAATATGAATTTTAAGCACATTTTCGATAGGATTACAGCGTTTTCTGTTCGGGCTGAAGCGGCCACTTCAGTTTCAACCCGGACAGAAAAAGGTGCGACACAACTACGTAAGTGCGTGGTGACGTAACGCTACGCAGAGCTCAAGTCCAGAAGGCGTTAGTGGTAGCAGGCTAAGCTAGGCTAATCTCCAACGCGCGTCAAGTTTTTGCTTCAAAATGAGTTCCCATGACCGTCAGAATGTGACTGAACAAGCTTCCACAAGCGAAGAGAAGCAGATGACATCACTGATAAGAGAGGAAAGACTATTTCGCTGGTTTGGAAGTGGTTCGGCTTTCTAAGATCCGATAAACTGCAGGTTTCAGTCAGTGTGCTGCAAAATGTGACGAGTCGTTCTAACTCGCGGTTGGAACAACAACTTGTTCCACTTGACAGAAGATGATGAGTCACAAGATGAAGCACAATAAAGTTTGAGCCAACGTGTCCCTGAAACACCCCCAGCGCCGCAAGTTTTGTTTTTATCATTTATTCATTCAATTAAAATAAAACAAATTCATCAGAAAGAAAAAAAAAAAAACATTGAATGAAAAGGTTGAAGATGACATTTTTTTTGATAATTGTTTTGCTTTTCCCCAAACTTCATTACAGTAGATTAAATATGGAACAATTATTACATTTTACAATTTATACAAAGCTTTGTCATTCAAAAACTCTTTTACTTTATACAGTAATGCAACTGATGGTTATTTTTATTTTAAAGTATTTTACATGAGATTTCCACGTCAGCTTCTCATCAATGACGACACCCAAAAATTTTATTTAATTAACAACGAATTTCAATGCTGTCAATTTTAAAGTTGTTGTTTAAAGTCAAAACTATTAATATCAACAAAGTTGAGAATTTTATGTTTGACAGTGATTTCATTTTTTTTAAGGCTAAATACAAATAAAAGGTGAACATTAATTTATTTGTATAGCTTTGTAGTTTTTCTGAGGCTTTTATAATGTTTATATCGATATCGAATTATATCGTTATCGACCGAAATTAAGAAATATATTGTGATAAAAGTTTTGGCCATATCGTCCCGCCCTACCGGACACTAAAGAGGGTGAGAAGGACTTGTACCGATTGATGAGACGGAGGGACCAGGCTGGATCTTTCTCATTTGTGAGAAGGACCTGGGCTAAAGTAAAAGAATCTCAGTTTTCTCACCAAAAATGCTGTTTGAGAGACAGATGAGAGCAAAAGCAGCAAAAAGATTTGAGATGGTGTGGACCGGGCCCAGAAGGTCCAGGTTCTTCCACAGACCACTCACCGTTTTCACTCCGTTGATGTCCAGACCTCTGGCTGCCACATCCGTCGCCACCAAAATATCAATCTGCTCATCTTTAAAGCGCCTGCAGAATCCAGAGAACACAGAAACACAGGTGAGGAATGACCCTCGCACCTCCAGGGCTCACAATAGAACATTTCTCATGTACCTAAGGTTCTCCAGTCTCTGGCTCTGGCTGAGTTCCCCATGAAGTTCTCCAACCTTCAGGCCCATCAGTCCCAGCAGAATGTGCAGTCTGTGGGCCTGTTTCCTCGTCTGAGTGAAAACCATCACATGGTCCTGGAAGGTCCGGGTCAGCAGAGCTGAGAACACACAACAGTCAGTACCAGAGGAGCCCGTCCTGGTTTTGAACCACCTGGTCTGAAGGATCCGTTCCTACCTGACACCACGGCCTCCCGGTCTCCTTCTTTGTGCGCTCGGATCCGAACGAACTCCTGTCGAAGAAAAGGAGCCACGTCTGTGTTGCTGTTCACGAAGATTCTGACTGGCTCCTTCAAGGACACCGCCGCCAAATCCTTCACCTGCAGACAGAGGTCACATGACCCACTGACACACCTGCTGACAGGTCACATGACCCGCTGACAGGTCACATGACCCGCTGACA